CAGACAGCTGTGCCAAGGAGTATGGGGCCAAAGGTTATGCCTCGTACGTGGCATGCCCCAAGACCGAAACCCAGGACCCTGGCAAAGGGCTAAAAAGTGCTCCTTTTGGTCTTTGTCTAGAGATGGAGGAGAATGCCTGGAACGGCTGAGGCTGAAGATGGTGGATGGTGACTCCCCTGGCACACGGATTTTTAATTGCTCGTTTGCCTGGCAATCATCGCTCGTCGTAACGCTTCTTTCGTTTATTGTTACCGTTAACACAACCGTTACCACTGGCCCAGAGACTGGCAGAGAGACAGAGAGAGAGAGAGAGAGAGGGAGAAAAAGTGAACGAGCGGATAAACCCGTTTTGTGTCTAATTAAAGTGCTCCGATTTTAATGACACCAACCATGGAGAGGTTCTCCGGGAAGAAATGCTCCATTGGACTTTTCCACTTTATCCATTGGGTGCAGATCAGAAAGAGAACATCTCTGGAGTGGAGCTCATATAGCAGGAGTATACCCGAATAAAATGGGCACCTGAATTCATGGCAATTGCTTACAGACTCCGATTCTTTCGTTTCTTAAAGCCCCCGCGACATGAAAGGGGTGTTGGGGGCTGGATCTATGGTTGAGTTGTTGGGTGGGTGTTCCTCCGAGTGCGTGCTGTTGACTGTGATTTATGTGGGGCCGTGCCGGTCCCCGTTTTGGGTCCACCTCAGTTTGAGCTTCCCGGTTATGGGGGCAACTCGAAACATATGCATAGATAAATTATACGCGGCAAGCGCCTTCAACCACAGCAAATATCGGGTAGAGCAAACATTTTGATGTGACGAGACTAAATTGAGCTGAACACATGCTGTGCAGTCGTGGGCGGGGCTCCAGGTGCTCTGCTTCCATCCCTTCCAACCGGACAATAGTCCCGTGAATAGTACGAGTATGTTTCAGATCTACATTCAATTTTTGTGGCTTCCCCTTTCATGTTTTCTTGTTGGCTCTCAACCCATGAACAGATTTCACGAAATATTTATGCTTTTATTGTACGTCAGTCAGTTGGAAAATAGATTTTTGTTTCGTCTTTCAATGGATGTGTCCAACAGCAGATGCCCACGAGATTTTCCACTCCACTCCGCAAGCGGGAGTTCAGTTCATTTGGAAACTCCAATTCGAGTTCCCATTCCAGCTCCTTTTCCACTTCGCCGTATGGAATTAAATTACTCCTGGCCAAGAAGCATTTAAGCCATTCCGCAGGAGTTAAACCATTTTGTTCCAAATCTTTTGGCCAAACAAATCACAGCTGAGCACACACACACCCACACCCCACTGCAGTGGGGTGGTGATACACTAGGATGTCAAGGCACGGCATATGTAGCTTGGCTGCTGGGGAACAGAACATGCATAACAGCAGCATCATCGTTATATCGATGGCATTCACATGTTTAGCACACAAACGAAATGCCAAAGCAAAAATATGCATACAAATCTATCTGTGCACATTGGATAGCCGAAATCGACTACAGTTTGGGGTCTGGGGTCTGACTGTGACTCTCAGTTCTGTGGAGAGATAGAGATAGAGAGAGAGAGAGAGAGAGAGAGAGAGAGCGAGTCGCATCTGAATCCACATCGGATCTGTCGACTGTTCCACATTTTGCTGTGCATTGCAAACATGGCGCTTGTGTGTGTGTGAGGAGATATATTGTCTATATGGGTCTGGTCTGGTCTGCTGTCCGTCCGCCCGCCGCCACATGGCAGCGCTGTCCCAATCAATTGTCCGACTGTCCAAACTTCATTTGTTATGCGCATCACAAAAATTGAAGCAAATCATTTTGCCAATCGCATTTTGATTTCGAATGTCGCCTGATGATTGAGTGGGATGGCAGGATGGAGGATTCGAATATGGGGATTGGGGATGATTGGTCAATCGCCCCACAGTTTATGTTAATTTCTTTGTATATTTGCCGCCAGAGGCGCTCGAATTATGCAATGCCCTTATTAATTTATCTAGCAGCCAAATGGGTTCAGCCACAGTCACATAGAGATGGCAGCGTGACATCGGCAACTCAACGCAATATACGTTCAGGGTACATACTTAAGAACCATAAGTTTACATTTGTATATTAAACATTACCAACTCTTCATTAACTGTTGTGAGTCTATTATCACAAAAATCATCATTATCGGATTAATCATCTTATTTCGCGCTGACTCAACTATCGCTTCACAAACACACTTCCAAATACCATCTCTAGATCCAATGAAGGCGGAGGATTTATGTTCGTCAGGGTTTCGGTTCTGGCTATTTATGCAGTGTTTAACTGGGCCCGCGGCTGCTTCTCCTCCGCTTACTTCTATTTTTGCTCATTTCCCCCCGGCGCACTTCTTCAGAGGGTCCCATGAAGGCGTGGAACTTTCACGCCCCATTCGCGTAACTCATTTTCGCTCTGCTGACGGGCCAGCAAACTGTTGGCTCTGGAAAAGGAAGCGAGAAAGTTTCTTTGGCTGCCACTTGGCACATTCTTAATACCTTGCGTATTTTGTCAAGACAAATTGAATTTTTATGAGCGTCGTCGTCTCGTTTGTGAAAAGCAAAAGAAATCACAAAAGTCATCGACAACGAACGACGCGAAGCGACACGACGGCAGCAGAAACTTTAAACTTTTCTCATCTCGTGAAAGCAATTTTATCACAAGTAATTACTTTGTAAATATATGGGGGGACGCAGCAGTTGCAGTACATGCTGCCTTTTGGCCATTTATGCGGCCATAAAGTGACTTAAAGGTGTTTGCCCCTGTGGGGGCCTGCTTTACCTAGTGGCAAGAAATAAAGAGCAGATTGCATTTGTGCTTTCTAAACAGTTCACAGAATGTTTAATGCAACTCGCCATTGGGCATGTCAAACCGCGACGATCATTTGCAAAAGGGACACACATTTTAGGATCTTAAAGAGTAAACGTCGAAAGCAACAACGGGCTGTGGGTGACAGCAGTCGGCGATCCAGCTTAGTCGAAGAGACCGAAGCCCATGTCATCGTCCTCCTCTTCGGACTCGGACTCGACCTTCTTGGCCTCTTCCTTCTTCTCGGCAGCACCGCCGGCAGCTGGAGCAGCCACAGCGGCCACAGCAGCAAACTTGCTGGGGTCCTTGATGTACTCCTTGATGGTGGTGGCCTCCTTGAACTCCACCTCTGTGGTGGCGGCGATGGCCAGCAGGTTCTTGAATCCATTGGCAATGCTGTGAGGGGCCGAGGCGATTGTCGGGTAGCCCACGGACAAACACACGGCAGCCAGGTTGGCCACACCTTGCTGGAACTTGGCGCGCAGATCCTCGGGCTTGATGTCCAGGATCTCGGGGGAGAAGATGGAGCCAGAGTCGTATACCTGGCTGACCATCAGACCATACGAGAAGGGCGAAATGTTCAACATGTTGAGCAGAGTAGCCTCGGAGGCTCCCACTTTGTCGCCAGGCTTAAGGATGGGCACATCGTTGATAATTTCAATTGTACCCTTGGAAATCTTCGTCGGGATGGACAGAGCCTGGAAGAAACTGGTCTTCTCGGGTCCCAAGCCAGTGTTCTGGGCCGGGATGATGACATGCAGCGGAGCAATGGCACCCGGACGGGCTGGGGCGCGCACCTTCGACTCCAGCAGCTTGTCACGGACCTCGGCCAAATCGCCCTTGGTGAAGACGAAGCCAACATTGCCCTTGATGTGGGGCAGCAGCTTCTCCAGCTGGGGATTGTTCTCCAGATGACCACGAATGGCCTTGCGCATCATGGTGTTCTTTCCCATCAGCACCACAGCCAATCCGCGCAGGCTGGTACGGATGTTTTGCATCTGCTTGGAGCCCACATTGTCAGCGCCCACAATGAAGCACTTGGGAAACTCGTCGAAGAGTTCCTAGAACGGCACCTGTGTTAGCGGCAATGGGTCATTTGCTGTTGCTCACAATGCTTACCACTACTTTGATGAAGTACTGAGCCTTCCATGCTGCCTTGTTCTCCCTAACCATATTGATTGTGTATTAGGGACTCGTGGAAAGAATTTAAGAACTGCAAAGAGAAGCACATATTCGATTAAAGGCTATCAGGGGCAACAGTTTGGTGTTGTTTTCTGCCCATATATACCACGGATGGCATATATTTTCAAAGATTTCATTTTCACTAACCAAAGCAATAACTTTTCAAATGGCTGACTTTGACCAAAATGGCCGAGCCAAGGAGTGTGGCCGAGGAATTCTAGATAAAAAATACGGACACTCAAAAATATACTGTAAATATACCGAGAAAACAACTTAACCCACTGAGCCTCGCTGTACAGTAACAATAATATATAATATGATTATGCAGTGAAATAATTATTTTCTGAACGACATCCAAATTCAAGGCGTAGTGATAAATTATATAATTTCGTAATTGGTATGGCAGAAAAACCATATCAGGGTGACCATTTGCGCTATATTATATGATTTTCGGGATTTATTAACTATAAAATTGTATTTAGTGTATATTTACGGTACATCGGGATATAATGGTATATTTAATCTGTATCATCATTCTATTAAAATCATTTATGAAGGTTCCTTTCACAGGACTATTCTCTCTCCTTTCCGTGTTTCTCTTTCTTTTGAGGGGGGATCCACTCGTACCCTTGCGAAGCAGAGTTTTATTGACTTTACATTCCAATTTCCACCTACCGTACGTTCCTACGTTTTATGATGAAATATTTTGTATTTACCTTATGAGTTTGAACGTTATGTTGTAAATAAAAGGAAGTCATGAAAACTAGCCCATTTTGTGGAAAATTGATTCATCGATATAAGAAACGTAAATTTGTAATGCTGAGAGTCCTGACGCTGGTACTAATAACAATAATATCAAATTCGACGAACATGATGTAGGATTCGGTATATTTACAGTGTTGGTATATTTCGGGATTGCTGTGAGGGCTGTGCGGTATCTTTGATTAATAAATACACTGCTACAAAACTATCGATACACAACCGATAGGACAAAATTGCTTTGCTATATTTATTGACATTACTAAAACATTAAAAACAAAATCTATACCGTACTTAATAGTCCAAAGTTCACGTTGAGGCTGTTCCTATTTCAATGAAATAAGTAAGAATCGAGCTGCTCAGTCCAGGCAGTCGGCCAGTCAACGTGCAGAAAACCCATTCCACCTGATATTTCATCAGAATGGGCAAAGATTACTACCAGATATTGGGCATAAACAGAAATGCAACCAAAGAAGAGATCAAAAAGGGCTACAGGCGGATGGCGCTCAAATACCATCCGGATAAGAACGACCACCCCCAGGCCGAGGCACAGTTTCAGGAGGTTGCGGCCGCCTTTGAGGTGCTGTCGAACAAGGAAAAACGAGACATTTACGATCAATACGGAGAAGAGGGTCTCAAGTGTGGCGATGAGCCGCAGACATTTGCCCAGCCCACGCCAGATATGGTGCCCTTTATGTGTGCGGTAGGCGGCACCGTCCTATTTGCTTTTGCAGCATATAAAACATTTCAATTTTTCTCGAAAAAGAAAAACCCAAACGTAGATAAAGACGAATCCTCCTCATCTGATTAAAACTATTGTAATTTTATTAAACGTACTTTCCGGTGTTATTGTTATTAAGTTATTCATATAAAAATAAACAATTGAGTGTCATCGATATTGGTCCCAAAACGATAGACAAAAATGGTGTCAACTCTAGAAACCAACCAGTGCATTATTGTGCACAAGAACTGAAATAAGAATTAATAAGATAGGCGTGGCTGTTTTAGCTAGACTCAATAACTTTTTTGATCAGACGAACTGAACAACGAACCCGGTGTACGTTGCAGTATAGTATGCGTACAATTAGTTGAAATAACCTATATCCAAACATTAAATTATTTGTAATACTTTATTTTGGGATAAAATGACTGACTACCAAGATCACTACAACATATTGGAAGTGAAAAATAAGACCGAAATGGCGATGCCCAGACCAAGGCATGATGACGGCTTTAGGTCGAATCCGTCTTATTCCCACAATACCTTCAACGGGAAACCGGAGACCCCAAAACGGAAAATTACTGTAATCATTCTGGTCTCCATGGTTATTGCATATTTGACCAATAATATGATTAAGACCAGAGAAGCGGCTCGGGCAGCGGAGATGGTTTTCGTCGCCAGTTCAGAAGACAAGGTTGTGGCACCGCTTGCAGCAGGAGAGGCCCCTAAAATGGATTATCCGTCGTCGTCCTCACTATCATAAGCTACTAGTGCAGTAGCTGGCGCCACTGCACGTGGGATATGCCAGATCTGGAAATGGACTTCTTCTGTCCCATCAGCTGCCAGTGCTGTAGCTGGCGCCACTGCTGGAGGGATATCCAATATCTGGAAGTGGGTCGCAGGATCACTTAGTGCAGATTCTTCAGCTACTTCTTCTGTCGCATCAGCTGCCAGTGCTGTAGCTGGCGCCACTGCTGGAGGGATATCCAATATCTGGAAGTGGATCGCAGGATCACTTAGTGCAGATTCTTCAGCTACTTCTTCTGTCGCATCAGCTGCCAGCGCTGTAGCTGGCGCCACTGCTGGAGGGATATCCAATATCTGGAAGTGGGTCGCAGGATCACCAAATGCAGATTCTTCAGCTACTTCTTCTGTCGCATCAGCTGCCAGCGCTGTAGCTGGCGCCACTGCTGGAGGGATATCCAATATCTGGAAGTGGGTCGCAGGATCACCAAATGCAGATTCTTCAGCTACTTCTTCTGTCGCATCAGCTGCCAGTGCTGTAGCTGGCGCCACTGCTGGAGGGATATCCAATATCTGGAAGTGGGTCGCAGGATCACCAAATGCAGATTCTTCAGCTACTTCTTCTGTCGCATCAGCTGCCAGTGCTGTAGCTGGCGACACTGCTGGAGGGGTATCCAAGATATGGAAGTGGGCGCGATCACCCTTAAAATGTTCAACTGTACTTCAGTATAAAACACAAAATATTCCCACGAAAATACGTCCAAGAATTGTTTGCCCTGTTTACCCCATATAATTTATCTTAGTCCCATGATCACCATTATTCTCTTGTATGGCCTTAGCCGAGCTGGCTCTGGTATAAGAAAAAGCACGCCTACGCGACTTGAAAAATCATCAACAGCGATCAAAACTACAAACAAAACAAGGAAAATCTCAAAAAATCAGAACACAAAATGCCTTGTACCAATAAGGAATCGAAACCCGAAAATGGGAAAGTGCTGTTATAAGGGTTTTTGCATACTTGAGCTATAAAAGGGTTCAGAACCAACAGCTCCAAAGCTAGCGCCCATGCTGGGAGGGATATCCAAGATCTGGAAATCGGCCTATGATTCTATTCATTTTTAAAAAGCTTTGAAAGCTCAAAGGATGAAAAAGTGATGTCATCGAGGAATACAACCTAATTTTATCTAGTGGAAAAACGTTCAAAAGTTTAAATTTTGTAGCACAGTGTAATTTGAACAATAATCGCAGCTCGACCAATAGATCTGTTCTATATTCCGAGAGGTTACCTAGCAAACAGAGAGTAATATATGAAGTTAAAATATAAATGACCGTGCTTCTAAACGAGCTTAAGGCCATCAAACTGCAAAAAAAAAGGATTTTAGATTAATGATATTTTATTGAATTTAGTTGCATTTTTAATTTGTTTAACTTATTTGAAACCATTTGAACATCTTCATGTTGCCAAGACACAGTCCCGGCTGGGCTGTTAACCAAATTTTGTAAGATGTTTTCCTTTTGGGACCAAGTACTGCTACACAGGGTCGTGCCAAATACGATGGCGACAGTTTGGACTCGAAACTATCCAATTTTCAATAGGAAGGGTGCTTGGAGGCGCCGATTCCTTGGCACGGCCTTTCTGCTCCTCCAATCAAAGAAGGCTGCAGATGTTATTCCCAGACATATGCAAATTCTCTGTCATATTTTCAAGCTGCGGAATATGCAAAGGGTATCGTTTCATGGGTTTCCATAAATGGACACATATTTATATGATTTACAAGCCGGACCCGGCAAACTTAATCAGAGTTGTCGGCGCTTATTTCGTTGATTGTCCTCCTTCTCCGATCATGCAAGAGCCGCCGATCTCACTAAAGGTAATTTCCTGCATGGATCCATTTCCTGCATTTATGAAATTTCCACACATTTTCAACAAGGTAAACAAAGCCAAACGGGCTTCCTGAGAAGTGTAACCGTACGGAATGCGTTTTTCACCCCTGGTCACACTCTGCTGCTAGCAAAATATATTGCACAGTTTGCCAGCAACCGCGTTTTTCGATCTGAGTACTAAACCGATCCTACCGATTAACAAGCAACAATGAACACTAGTCAATCTTGAGCAGAAATGATTGGTGAATGGAACAACATTATAGTTTTAGTGCTGAGAGTAGTAACTAGCTGGTAGTATTTATCAGAATATCAAAATCTAAACATTATTTTAGATATATTGTTATTATTTATGGTATATGTTGATAATGATGAGGTATATTTCAGTATATTTTTCAGGGTTATGCGGTATATTTTATTGTTGAATCCGCTGGCTGTCACAATTCAAACAAACAATTTATATATCGAATATATAAACATCCCGGCCGACCGGAGCGGCAACCCAAAGGACAGCGTACAGAGCACAGAGATTACCTGCCAGCATAGATGTCCAAGCAGGCAGAAAAGTTGGCCATGGCCGCCGCGAAGGCAACGCATATAAATATAGGACAGACGAAGGACTCGAGCCACAACATGGACTCCTCGGATTCGGTAAATACACACATGTACGACATCGAGCAGCAGCATAACAGCTCCTTTCGCCTGCAGTGCTCGCTGTCGTCGGTGGACAGCGAGAGCGATCTGTCTATGGCCTTCGAGCGTGATCTGGGAGTTGAGGAGCCGAGCAATTGCGACGAATTGCCGGCCTTTGAGATACGCGCCTTTTCGCCCCATGGACGCACGCCATCGCCCATCGATGATCTGAACATCTCGGACATAGAGACTCCGAAGCAGCATCAGCCGGAGGAGCCACCCTGCCAAAACCATCCCGACTTTGTGGCCCTGCATGAAATCAATGCGCAAATCAGTCCGCCAAGCGACGCCGACGACTCCGTGACGGCGCTAAGTCGCAACAACAGCCTGGAGACCATTTTCGAGGGCGTCTTTCTGAACACACCGCCTCGGGAGAAACCAAACAATAGCCCCGGCTCCAACCTCTGCAGCTCCTCTCGCTTCACTCCGAAGCGCGTGCGGGTCAATCTTATGGAGCTGGTGGCTATCGGCAATCGCATACACACCACCGGCAAGGAGAACCAGTCACCGGGAGCAGCAGCCACTGCCAAGCTGCCGTCGCCAGCGACGTCTCCGCGCAAAGCGGCGTCACCTAGCCACCGCTAGACCCAACCAAAGCCCTAGGAGCACTCCTTAGACTAAGTAACGATCGAATACGATGCCCAGGCATCCTTCGCTTTGTGTACACACTGCATGTGTATCTGAATATAATGAACTGAATTTACATTTGTACAATGTTTCCGGAGAACAGACCAGAAAACTTAAGTTTTGTAGACTTAAATAAAAGATCGTCTTTCCATGTTTCAAACATTAAACAAAAATCTGGGTTTCCACTGGAATTCGTTGGGGTTTTCTGCACTTGGCAGATGTTCGCAGTAGGTAGGGTATCCTATCTACCTGATTGTGGGAACGCTGAAGTTGAAGTACCTGATCGCTAATAATATATATCCCTGATGGTTTACCTGCTGGGCGCAAGGATTTAACGGAGACTGGTTCTGGAAAAAATTGCTTGGCAATAGAAAAATATGTTTAATTGTAATTTTTGGGATTAGGGCTACCTTAGAACTAGACTCTTACTTGTGCTAATAGTTTAATAACTTGTGCAGTAGTACAAAAATATATATCTTTGATAGATACTTGAGTTTGGTTTTTGGCTATGGCGAGGCTATAGCACCTGTTTACCGACTTCAATTAGCCCGCGGTTCGCGTGTCACATAAAACGTTGATATTAGGAATAGATATGGGTTATTTGGGAGGAATGTCTCTTGCATGGCATGAGGAATATGATTAAAATAAGTAAATAATAAAAACACTGCCAGCAAAATGGGCCAACTATGAATTTTGTAAGAATCAATACAAAGGGTAATTATGGAAACCGATTAGTGGCCGCTGCTGCTTCTCTTCCGACCTGCACCGTTTATGGCTGCTGATCAAAAGTTATCCGAGTGTCGCGATGCAGAAAACACCTTCACGCGCAACAGTCCCGGATTGACCTCCTGCCAGCTGCAGTAAGTGATGAAATGGAAACGATAATAAATGTCTCATTAATGTGCATATCTCCCGCGTGACTCACCGTAAACGTCGTTCGCCCAGTCTGGACTTGACCTTGTTCTTGATGGTGGACACTCCATTGGCGCTGTGCAGTCCCCGTCCTGTAATGATGAACACATGCTTGTACACACGCGTGCTCTTGCGCAGCTTGGTTATGTGGCGATCGAGGAAGAGATCCAGACAGCTGATGGCCTCCACGGTGTGCAGATAGTGCAGGTCCAGCAGATCGGGATTGTTCTGGGTGTGCTTGTGCACCTCCATGATGCAGGTGGCCGCCCGATGGTTGAACACATCGATCTTTGTCTTGTGCAGATTGGCTATCTGGGAGTAGTACAGGGCCACGTTGCCGTTGCCCTTCTGCACAGCCTGGTTGGCCTTCAGATAGCATTCGGCCTTTAGCTGGGCATGATGGGCGGCCAGATTCCGGGTCTCCTCGAAGTCACGCAGAGCGGCGCTCTTTGCCTCCTCGTGCAACTGCGGCGAGCGGCTGCTCGTCGACGCTGACGATCCGCAACGCTGGCCTTGGCTTGCAGCATTCTCGCTGACTTTAATGGGTTGCTGTAACTTCTGCTGTTGCTGTTGCTCCTGCAGAGCCACCTAAAAGGGTGACCAACAACTTAAATGCTGTTCAAAGTAACCCAGAGATGTGACATACCTTCTCGCTCTCGCGCAGCGCCTTATCATAAAGCTCCGCCTCGTTGAGAGAGCTCTGGACGTTGCTGTCGAGCACCTCCACGGTCTTGCCATAGTTGCTGCCAGTGGCCGAGAATATCTCGAGCACCGTGTCGTTGGGTATATTCGGGAACTTCTCGCACAGCTTCATCTTGGTCAAATGGGTGGCAATGTCGTTTGGCTGCTGACGGGCGGCCATCTCTGACGCCTGCTTGGCGGCCTGTTGCTCGCTGTTGTAAATGCTCCACGCCAGCTCCATGTCGAGCAGCTCATTTACGTTGCTAGGCGACTCGCTGCACTCGGCGTATTCGGGATGCTTCAACAGGCGTGCAAATTGCTCATCGTCGCGCAGCGTGTTCTGACGCTGCTCCTCCAGCTGGTTGTAGACGCCCTCCAGCCACAGCATGTACAGCTGCTTCAGCAGTTGACGTGGCACAAATACCTTCGTGGCGGGCAGTTCCTCCTCTGGCGGCATCATCTCACCGTCCGTATGGAATAGAGTGCGTAGTTGCTTGACCAAAGTGGACCCCAGGTCCATTTCCTCCAGATTGTTGTCCTCGGGATCCTCCTCCTCCTCCGCCGCTTCCACGACTTCCGAGTGCGGAACAACCAGCGGCTGATCGAGTATGCCATTGCGAATGTCGCGTATCTTTCGGGTGTGCTCCGAGTATAGCTCATCACCTAAAACACAACACAAACAACCATATGCTGGAGAGCGGTAGTGGATGCCATTAGAATGATCACAAACCTATTACAAAGCAGTTCTCAACTTGCAGTTGGAGCTCCTTGTTGGGCGGCGCCAAGATGCGTTTGTTACGGCTCTGGCGTTGGGCCTTGGGCATCGGCTTGGACACCAATCCCGTTGGCGATGGTGTACGGGGCGGCGTAGGAGCCACCTCCTTTTTCTCAGCTCTCCCACAATCGCATTGGAACTGTGCCGACTCCTCTGGCAGCATGGACGCGTCAAAGTCCGACCCCGAGTCGGCATTCAGCTCATCCTCTTTGATCAGTATGTCCACAGCCCAGTCCACATTTGTTTTGCACTTCACATAGAGATCCCAGAGCCCCGTCAGTAGCTTGTTCGGGTACATTTGACGCAGTAAAACGAAATTATAGGGTTCGTTGGGACAGTTCAGGCAGTGGCGCTCTAAAGTTGTTTTTGGTTCACTGGAGTCAGCCGGCGGTGGGGCCTTTTCGGCCGGCTCATCGCGTAGCAGCTCTATAAGTGATTTCTCGTACGAGCCAGTCCCAACTTCGGCTGGGTCTATTGTGGAGGATGCTGTGGCCTGCTCACTGCCCGACCGCGACCAGTAGGCGGGAGCACCCTGCTCGTAGGGCACCCAAGTTCGGGCATTAATATTCAGCTTGAAACCGTTTGGGGATAGCCCATCGGGATTGTCGTTCTCCGGCAGTGGGGCTGGGGTGGGCACCGCCGGCAGTGGCGGGAATTGGCGTAGCTGTGGCAACTTTACTGTGTACTTCGTTTCCTTCAGCAACTTTTTAAAGAAAGAGCGAGAGAGCTTGAACAATGCAAAAACTTGACCTAGCACTTGATTTGTGATTTTACCTTAATAAGGTCCGGCACACTGGTCTTCTCATAGCGCTCCAGCATGCGCTGAATGTTCTCCCTGGGCACCTGATGGATGTTCTTTTGCGCCAGCTTACTGGCAGACTTGGACCAGCTTGTTTGCGGCTCCAACAACTCCAGTACGTAGCCATGCTGTACGGCAATCTGGACATAGGGCTGCATTTCCCACACCATTATGTTGGTGTTGTCGACTATGATCGGACTCCAGCCCAGAGAGGCCTTCTGGCGTACCCTCTCCTTGTTCCATTCGTGGGCGGTCGGCAGCTGAGTTGGATTATACTCATAGCCGCGCCTGGACTTGAAGTAATCATCCGTGCTATAGACAAAGTCCAGCACATCGTTGTGCTCTAGTAGACGGCATTGGCGTAGTAGAGATTCGGCCAATGTGGACTTGCCGCTGCCCGGTGGCCCGCGCATGATGATCATCACTCTTTGGCCAGCTTGGGCCTTCATGCAAATGGCATTGAACTGTTTGTCCTTGTTGTTGGCGCTGCTGCGATACTTATTGAAGCTGCTGCTTGCGGCTGGAGCAACGAATTTCCTTGGAGTATTTGTGGCCATGTTATTTTTGCCGTTGCCGTTGTCATTGTCGGTGCCGTTGCCATTGTCGTTTGCCTTGCTAAGGCTCAGCTCGTTGTTGAGAAAGAGCGCCAATTCCGCTGGCTCAGCAGCATTTCGCGCCGTTGCCATTGTCTTTGTTGTTGCTGTTGTTGTGGCGCAGTTGTTGTTCTTTCTGAGCAGGAAATCTGAATGTGTAAGTGTAACTTAATACGCAGTAATCTCGAATGCTCTGTTCCCTTATCGCGGGAGTCACCAATACTACGGAACCGGACAATCCACTTGATCCTCTACACAAGCTGTTGCACAAACTGGGGGGGGCCTTGCCGCCTTTCTATAGCTGATTGTTTACTGCTTATTACACATTACACATGCGAATTCTTTGGTTTGGTTTGAGTTTCTTAAGCAATTTTTTTTTGTCGTGTCCAGTGTAACCGCGAAATTATCGATATAATATACCGTCAGGGCCTAGAAAATATATCGAAATATACATTTTCATTTTCAAAATATACTGGAAAGATACCGTAGTCTTAAATCAGATTCCTCGATTTTGATGTTCGATTTAGTATTACTAGCTAGTTAGGAGTCTCCGCGCTAAAACTTTAATTTTATGCGTTTTATCAATCAATTCTCCACAAGAGTGGCTAGTTTTCACGACTTACTTTTCTTAGAATGTTTCCAAATTAAGTTAAAAACTAATATAGCCGCTGCGCGCTTTGATGGCCAGCGAAACTTTTCACCTGCGTTGGATTTTAACTGGAGCATTACGAATGGTCCAATATTTTAGTGGATGGATGAAATTGATTAAATAAACCACAACATACCGATATTCTGTAAATACATTGAATTTAACTCCTTTAATTCGTCAATTCCTTATTTTATAAGTTAGATTTGAATCCCAGCCAAATTGTAATCAGAGATGGATGTCGAATAATGACGTATCGATATATATGCGACATATATATATCGACACAGATGTAAAAAGAACCGAACCACTAAACGCTATTATGAGAATATCGAACCAGTAATAATTCAGATATAAAAATACTAAGCATACCAACACTTTTCCCATTTTGCGCGCCAAAAAGAAGCAGTAAATTAAACATAATTATTGTTATCATGGACAAAAGTAAATTCAGAACGCTGGATGCCTTTCCAACATATGCTCTGGTAACTTTTAGTTACTTATTGGACGATTACAAGCTGATTGGTGATCGAAACGAGCTGCAGCTTGTGCAAGTGACCAAAGTGTTTTGAGGCAACGACGAAAACGGTGCACAAGTGGGAGCGCGCCCAGAATGTCGGCCCACAGACAGTCCATGCCCGAAACACCATAAAGGGAAATTTTGAAGGAACCAGCAAGACTGATGCAACTCGGTGCGTTGCAGCTTGTAGACCTCCTCTACATGAAGGGACCCATTGAAAAAGAGAATAAATCATTGACTAACTTTTGGCTTGTTTTCTCCGAAGGTCTGTCAACCTCTGCACATCTGCACAAGGAAGAACCTTCATCATCGAGTATCACGCTGTGAGTTTCCCCATCTCAATTCGAACTACAATATTAAATATTTTTCATAACTTTTATTCGAATCTGTCTTTTGGTTTGTTTTTTTGGTTGTTGGTTTTTGTTTATGCTTAGTTTGCCTGTTGCTCGTTAAACAATTTAATTAGTGAAATTATCGTACATTGTCGTTAAAAGTCATAAAGAGTGGTATACATATACGATAAATGTATGTAGCATGTATGTATGTGTAGTACTTTAGTTTTAGTTTTAGTGTTAGTTTATACATCGACTTATAGATCTCGAAGTCTCGGCAACTCCGCTGCGCTCTGCCAAGTGCAATGAAACATTTATCTATTCAATATTAATATTTAAATATATATAATTCTCGAATGCGGCTGCTTTTAGCTGCCCATCGAAACGCAATTGTTGCTGTCTGTCATAAAAACAATTAATAGATCAATTATCTAACAAATAGTTTAAAGCGTATTCAAAGTATACATTAAGTACCATAGTTTAGTTCTTTGGTTTACATTTACCTACAATTATAATTAAATACAAATTGTTAAAGTAATGCCTAGAAAACACACACATTTCGTTTCTTGGAAGTTTTCATTTTCATTTTCATTTTCATTTTTTCTCTGTTTCTTTCGCCTTTGTAATTTATTTATTTTGAGCGCAAATTTAATTTTACTAACACTTTTCTTTTTCTTTTTTCGTTTTTCTTTTTTTTTTTGGTTTTGTTTTTGCTGTTGTAGTAGGCATAGAGTGAAACGCGACGGGTTTTCTGCCACCAATCCTGTGCCTAAACATTTCATTTAATTTTATTAAATTCAATTTCATGTTTGTTATCCTGTGTGGAACGATATATGTGTGTATTTATGCATGCAGCTATGCAATGGACTATGTATGGACTGGTAAGTATTTATGTGTGGTTTTTTATTTAGTTTTTATTGCATAATTTTGATGTGTGATTTGCTGGAGAGGCTTCGTAGGCCCCTTTCGCATGAGTATCTAACAGAGTACATGTATCCCTCCGCTTTGGGGCCGAGTACTCTTTGCCAGGCCAACTTTCGGCTCTTTGTTTCCGTGATCTCACTCCCTTAAGTTTGGCACAAACCTTGAGTAATGCTCTGCCCTCTAGTGCCGGTCGATCCTTTCCTTACTTCATGCCCAGCAGCCGCTTGAAGGCGCGCCTATAGTCCAGGTTAAAGATGGTGTAGATGACCGGATTGAGGCCGGAGTTGATGTAGCCCAGCCAGGTGATGAAATTCTTGAACTTATCGCTGGGACAGCAGCTCTGGCAGAAGGGCAGGATGACGTACATGAGGAAGAAGGGCAGCCAGCAGATGACAAAGACGCCCATGATGATGCCCAGAGTTCGGGCTGCCCGCCGCTCCTTCGACAATGAGATCTTTTGTTTCTCCTCGATGAACTGATTCACGCCGCTTGGTTTCTTCTGCAGCGGTGTGGCGGACACTGCACCGGCGCCAGTCGATGATTGTGGCGGCGTCAGCTTGAGCGAGGTCTGTTCCTCGGCCTGAGTCACACAGACCTGCCAATAATAAACATAAATAAATTAGTAAGTGATCGAAGAGTGGATCACCTGCATGGCCTCACCTGAATGCATCCTTTGGGATCGCTGCCGCTCTCTGTGCTGATCTCTGCATCGGATTTAGCTGCTGCATTGCTGCCCCCACTCCCGCCAGCAGGCAGGAGCTGCTGTTCGCCATGGGGCTCGCAGGTGGACGAGGACTGGGACTTGCGACCACTCCGTGCCTTGCCGTGCTTGATGGAGTCCTTGATCTTTGAGCGACGCGACTTCTTCACCAGCACCACCACATGCTGCTGCTGATCGTTGTTGGTGGCCGTCTTTGTGCCCTCCTGCTGCCCATGGGTCTCGCTGCTGATGCTTTCCTGATCGTTCTGGATCATGGGCGTGGAGAAGTTGGCCCGGTCCCGGCCGCAGCACAGCCAATTGGTCAGAGCGCGAGACTTCGAGGACGATGCTGCAGCCGGCGAGGAGTTGGTGATGGGCTCCAGCTCCGTGGACTTGAGAGCCATCGTGTTCAGCTTGGCGGCCTTGGCCCGCTCTCGCAAACGCCGCCGCGTGGCCACGAAGATCTCGATGTAGACAATCGTCATGATGGCCAGCGGTATGAAGAACGAACCCAGCGAGGAGTAGATGACATAGCCCCGCTGCGAGGTGAGCTCGCAGGGCGTTGCGCTGGTGAACTCATCGGGCCAATCGTTCCAGCCGATCAGCGGCGGACTGCTGATCACCAGCGAGAGTATCCACACGCCGGAGATGAGCAGCAGCACCCGGCCCACTGTCCGCTTCTGGGCATAGTTAATGGGATCGGTGATGGCCCAGTAGCGATCCAGGGCTATGGCGCACAGGTTGAGAATGGAGGAGGTGCAGCAGAGCACGTCGCAGGTCAACCAGAGCTTGCACAGGTGTATGCCGAACTCCCAGCGGCCCAGGATCGAGTAGGCCACGTTGAAGGGCAGCACCAGCAGGGCCACCGTCAGGTCGGCCACTGCCAGCGAAACGATGAAGAAGTTCTGCACAATCCGCAGCGGCTTGTAGGTGAACACGCTCAGAATCACCAGGATGTTTCCTATAATGGTTAGCACGATAATTATCGACAGAACGAGCGCGGTCAGCAGCGCCTCCCACTCCGGCACGGCCAGCTGCAGCCCGAGAATGCTGGCGTGCAGCTCCTCCACAGCCCCGGCGCCGCACTCCTCCGACTCGGCCGCGCTGGTGCCCGTCGTCGATGTCAGTGCGGCGGCCACTGTGGTCAGTCCCTCCACCAGCGAGCCGGATATATTGGCTGCAGTTTCGGTGGCTGATGCTCCGCCGCGTCCGCCCACTGCGTCCGCCTGGCTACCGCTGGCGGCGGTGGCAACGCTGACAGCCGTTCCCGATTCGTTCGTCGATCCGCCTGCAGCTCCTTCCGGCGCTGTGCTGACAGCGGCTGCCGCGGTTAAAGCCGCCGCTGCCACCGTTGTGGTGACATTTATGAACAAGATTTGATCTGCCGATGGCATTTTGGCATTGCCTGCCCTGTCCAGCCCTGCCCACCAGCGCACAGCAGATCACTCTTACATGCGTCCTTCGAGGGGGTGGCAATGGAATGTGTGGTTCCGACTGCTGATGGTGTGCTGAAAAGAGAAATGGCGTGAAAAACAGGATTAATGCGACTGCAAAGTTTCCGCGCAAAAAGCGAGCGAGGATGTGGGTCAGCCGGCCGAATCCGTTTTCCATTAAACTGTTCGCTCCCCACGCACACCCCAACTGTCGACTGTTCGCCTCTGAAAAAGTTTTGTCATCGAGTCCAAAGCAAATTGCAAATGTGAAGGACTCAGGCACAAGGCAATCAGGATCATGTCAAATCCAAATTATTTACAACTTGTCAATAAGCATGCAAAGAGAGACTTTTCCCCACAATTCGCGGCAAGACAGTTGAATGATGGCACCAGTCGAAACCGGGTCAAAAAGGTCAAGTTGAGGGCGCAATCCATTGGGGTTCGAGGAGGGAGGAGGTATTGGGGCTTCGCTTGTCAGGTCAGAAGGTCATTAACAATTGAAATGACGCATCTTCACGCATTTAACTCTGGGTTAGATGAAATATTTAAAAGTAATTAAAAATGTGAAGCCCGAAGCACTCAAGGATGGGACTGGGTAAGCTCTAAGTAAACGATTTTCCCCGGCAGATACTCCAAGATGTTCAGCACAAATACCGTTGTTGATCCCTTTCACACGGGGGTTGTCCTCCCCCCATAATCTTGCAATAATTGTTGCTCTGCTCTCGCCCCTCCTCTCCTCTCCTCTCCTTTCCTCTCCCACTTGACACTTCTAGTCTTTCCGCTAAGCTCTTACCAAGTTTGCCCATCCCACCCTTGAAGGCAGTTGAAAGAACATTAATCAAAATAACCCGCTCATAAACTGAACACTCCAATGGCTCAGGGAGCAACAAACAGCCAGCGAGAGAGCGAGAGAGCGAGAGGAAGGAACAACTTTGAAGCAAACATTTCCATTCAGCCAAAAATTGTTTTGAGTTTTTTTTTTCTGTTTTCTTTTTATTTGTTCCTTTCCATGGGGTGTCCCACCTTGATTTCTGTCTGCAAATGCAAAGCTCTTAGCTTCGGAAGTGGGAGGAGGCCATACTTTGGGTAGGAGGTAGGCCGGCTATTCAAGTACAAATAGATGGGGAAAAGTTGTAAGCGATTTTTAGTTGGTTACCTGGCCAAGATTTTAACAAAATACAAGAGTACAAGTGCAAGGAAGTAACTCTCGGACACCTTAAAGAGCATATCCCTCGCATTGATGGGAGCTCAGGCGACACATATCATTGAATAGCTCTTGGGGGAACTAAAGGCTGTTTTGTTTTTCAGACTATCCTGGCCGTCGGGCGATAAGCTTATTACAAAGCTCCTGATTACGGCCGGAGCCACCCAAACATTCATTCAACGGCTCTTTCCATGTGAGTGGGTGTCGATGTGTGGGTGCGGGTGTGGATCCGGGTTTGGGAGCTGTGAACAAATGAACAGCTTAGGATAGTTTTGTCCCTGACTCTTCTTGGCTGTTCGATGGTCGGTGTGCTGGAATGGGGGAAAAAGTTTTTTGAACTCGCATGTGCAGTCGCCTGCAAAGGAGGCGGCGACCTTGACTGGACCAGATTTCTCTGCCATACATTTGAATACATACTATCCTCGTGTGTATGGGCATGTCCTTTTTGGCAAACTTGTCATTACCATTTGTGTGCGTGTGCGTGGGTGCATGTAGGGAAAACTACTAGGGAAAAGTTTTGCAAGTTTGCCAACACAGAAATAGCGAATTTAGCTGGGAAATCAAATGGAATACTTTAGGATTTTCCTCGGATCCAGTTGAAATATTTACTACTTTATGTTTGTTGGCAAGGGTTGGGTAATGTAAAACATGTAGCAAGAGTCGTGTGGATCGCGAAAGCAAGGTCGTGTCCGCTCCCAGAAAACGCTAACAGTGCGCTGTAAGCGGAAGCAGCCCGCCCCCCTGCTGTTAACGTTATGTACATATCTACAGCCTGTTAACGAAGAACGTCCATTGGCTGTTAAAGTGCGGCGAGCGGTAACAGACTGTTAACCTGGGTTGTTTACGGCGCTTCTACCCTGTTAGAGGTTCTTTACTGAACATTTTATACATAATAATCCCCCCTGTTCCGAAAGAGTATCCCACCATCGTTGGACGTCCAACGGGATCTTTTTGTTTTAGCCAATTTTCTTCCGTGTCATGCTCATTAAATATGCAAGAGTATCTGCAAGATACACGCATCCTAACACCACCCACAGAGAGCGCTGGCCCGTCTTATTTATAGCCCCACATTAGGCACTTGGCCATCCAAAAATACTGGAAGCCGAAAAAAAAGAGCGAAATGAAACGCTTTGATGCTAATCCAGTTTGCCACACACACATACACACGAACACACGCACATGCATGGAAAAAGAATGAAAGATACGCGTATAGACCCGGACACATGTATCTTGGGGAATTTCTGTTAATTGGCATTGATGGTCGAGTGGGCCACGCCCCCAGTCGTCATCTCTTTAACACCTACGACCTCCGTTTCTTTTAATTTGCATGATTAATGGGGCGTACAAACACCCGAATTTCCTCGATAATTACACGCAACCAAAGGAACAATTACAAAAGCCTCGTAGAAGCAAGGAAAATGTTTCGCTTTGATTGTGTGGCAAGCTCTTTGAATTGCGGGGAATTTTAAATATTTTATGCGCAATTATTAGAACAAACTCAATTGATTGGAAATTTTCGAAAGTTTTGGCCCCCAAGTAAATGTGGCTATTGCCTCGTGAAAGGAATTCCAATTGGGGTAGGCTTTGCTTTCGATATCCAGTTTTCCACTCACCTTAACAATAATTGAAACAGTTCGTCGATCTGTACGGGAGTTGACGGCTGGCCCGTCTCCAGGCACCCGATAAGGACTGCAAAACTGTGATGGCAATTCCAATCCCATTCCCATTCGCCAGCCTAACCCTCCACCTGCGTTCATTTTGCGCCATTGCAGTTTCTCCCATTACCAGAACTATGCCAGCATGAACTGAAAGTCCACCTCTTCTCAATAAAGTGCAATCTGGGAGCGAGTCCGAGGGTGAGTTCAAACAGGGGGGCAGACCTTATCCGCACATGGACAGGCTCTGCGGTCCATTCAGGGCGACTCATTCCGGACATTCACGCATTTCGTTGAGCCATTGGGGGCTTCCTCCACAGTGTATGTTCAATTATGGGCTTTTATTACGAAACTATCGATGCAGTTTCGAGATAGAAATGGGATTACGTGGGACACTCTGTCACTGCGACTCCCAGAGCCTGTCCACCAGGGTAAACAAAATATTTAACAATATTTATAAACGAAACGTGTCGTAGCTTCCGAGCACTACGGTCTATTTATATCCGCTCAGAGTTTTGCAAGCCTAATGCATTTTAAAGGAGCAGCCATACATCAACCCAGGAGTAGACCTCAACCTCCTCCTCCTTCCACACTCGGGCAGGATACAAATTTGTTCACGTGTTGATGTGAAGCCCAGGTTCTCTTTTGTTTGGGCCATGTGTGAAATTTGCCTGCTCAATGACAAGAACATGTGATGTGTAAAACAGTCTGCGGATCGTGACTGAGGAGAGAAGGGGCAAGATATAAGCCTGAGCATTGCCGAACAGATTGATGTGGCAGAAAATATATTTGCAGGAAAGTAACGAGAGAGCTGCTGACAACTGCCTGATTGGATGGTCATGGGAGAATGGAAATTACTAAGGTAATCCCTTACTGAATGGATTACATTTTGAGAAAAGTGTACATAATCTGTGGATTCCTGCATCGGGATTAGAGAGTCTCCGGTGTGGCGATTTGTTGTGTTCAAATCGCTCGGCGGAAACCAAACTCTGATTGAAATTGATTGCAAAACTACACTGGTGGCATTCCTTTTGGGTTGTGTCAATCGTTTCCCGTTTCTGCTGAAATGTCAGCAATTTGTGCGCGGCTATCCTGGCGCCTGACAACTTGGCACGTTCGTCTGGGAATTAATGCGGGCCAAGCTATTCGAAAATGGATGCATGCTGCTTGCTGCACAATCACAGTGGAAGGATGGATTGGTAGAGAAAAAAAACTGGGGGTGTGGCTGTCCCACATCGTGCAGCGAGTGGCAGTGGGGAAGAAGTGCACACACACACACACACACACACACGAGTATACCTGAAACTGATAAACATGGAAATCATCATCGGCAGTGGCTTTGCAAAAAGCAAACCATGTAAGCCATTCGAGTATCCTCTCGCTTGTGCTTGGCCACGCCCATGCAAGTATGTCGGTCTGTCTGCCTGTCCGACTGTCGGTCAGTCAAAAATTGCACTCGAATGCACATTTTGTGGCAGCGAATCGAACCCTGGTCCGAGATCCATTGAGCAGCGGACTCGGACCTGACAGCGCATCGAGTGTTGCAAATGAAAGTGCCTTTCCGCTGGCACTCCCCTCTATCCATCCAATGCGGCTTCGCTGGTGGGAATTGCAGAAATACTTTCACGAGGAGTTCATGCTTGACTCTGTATATTTATCAATGCTTCATCCCACTGTGCCACTGTTACTCGAAATTCTTATCAATTTATTTTGCTGTTGCAGGTTGCTGCTGTTCCACGTTACAAGCCAATTTACTTTGACAGCACACACACATATTTTGCTATTCTTGCAGCGCTAATGATGTTGCAGGTCCGGTAAACATGCAGCGTTAGCTGTGGATTATGCGACATGTGCCTGTACCTATTTCTAGCGATCTCCCCTTTGATGTCTCTTACACTTTTGAATCCATTCAACATGTGGCAGTGGGCGCTTTTCGACGGCAGGCGTGGCATGTCTGGCTTCCTGCTCCCATTAATGGGCCCCGCTGTCTGACCCTGAATGCTCTTTTAGAATTCGTTTCGTTTTGTTTAGGCTGGGGAAAAATGCTAAACTATTCATGAATTGATTTGCCCGTTCCCCCCAGATTTCTGTTTGTTTGCCTGCCCAGCAGGGGTGGGAGCCATAGAGCACTCTATGGCTGTCTTCTTCGTAGTAAAATCAATTTGTAAAACTAATTAATGATATCATCTTTCTGGCCTGTTGTCGCTCCCAATTAG